GTCGAGTTGTGATTTAAATCCCGAACGAGACTTTAGAAGAGAGACCGTTATACAGCTCCAGTATCGTTTCATGTAATTTTTCAGTGTCATAGCTTCTATGTTTGTGTATGCGCATATGCATATTTTCACATTACATCTGTACATTGATTCCTTAATGAATAAGATCACTTTCTTTTTTTTTAATGTGTTTGTGTATTGCTTGCAAATGCCACATGGAGTTCCACAAAAATGCCTATAAACCGAATTTCTGTAGACTGACTGAGGAGGTAACAGAGGTGCTGACGTTATAGCTGCTGACTGATTTCTGTCAGTTTTGAGACTGCCTTATCTGTAGCCGTTCGCAGGATTGTTTAGGTGGGTCCGTTCGCCTTGTTGGCGTTGGCTTACCGAATGTGTTGAACTGCGCTAGTATCATTCAAGAATGCGCTGGCTTCGCTTCCGATGCAACTTTTTGAGCTAAATTTTGTTTGAGGGCATTGCGCTGGTGCATTTTATATGCGCAGATTATCAGGTTCGATAGATGAAGTGGACGAAGGTGCACCGTCAACGTCCGAGGATCTTGTACCGTCTTATACACAGGGCAGTTGGAAGAGGTAAGAGAATTTTCACTTTTGGATGCCTGCCTCTCCGTCATCTGTCAATGAGTGGCAGCCAGCAGCAAATGATCGGTCATTCGGGCAATCTCTGAGGAGCTGCCGCGCTTAGGTGGGTGGAGGTGTGGAGCAACGGAACCCTAACGCTATGCTGCCGGGTTTGTGAGAGCATCCCAGTAACATCACTGCTTCTCTCCGCTTACATTTGACGTGATATGCATTTTTAAGGCTGCGAGAGGTATGTCGCGCTTTGCAAGAAACACAGCACAAAGCAGTACGCCAGAAGCGAGAGTTGGACGCGCTGCTTGCAGACGATCAGGAATGCCGGGAACTTGTGAGTGCTTCTTTCTCAGAGCACAGTAATTTCTGGGTTGAGTGCCGTTCATTCCAGGCCGAACAGGTCCAATGTCAGGGAGTTGAGCTACGATCACTGCAGGATCGTGTCGAGAAGCAAAAATGCCGCATAATGACTTATCGCTTGAAGTTGGTTCGCCTCAACGATGAACGTTTTCAAAAAGGTAATGCTCACGTTTGATTGTGAGTTAGAACGGACAGTATTCTGTGCTGAGTTGTTCGAAGAAGGCTTGGCTTTCACGAACAAAGCGCCTTTTTGCGAAAAGTTGTGGATCGAGAAGGAACTGAACTT